AACTGAGTAAATTGTTGCAATTGCTGACTGTAAATAACCCGAGCACAATGTGGCACAACACGGCGTATTAGTAATCTAGTTTATTACTGTTTATGGATGGCAGCGCACTAGGGGAAGTTAAGGGGTGCATGTGAATGCGAGTGGAGGGTTGGCGCTGGCACAAAGTCTGGAAACTTTGATTTTCTCTTTGACCAACAAATAAGTTTGGTTTAAGTTTAGAACTTCAAGCTCTATTTATAGGTTAAGCAACTTTGTGGGAACCTTGGCGGCAGTATTGTATATATGGCGACTCTTAATCAATCAGTAAACTTATTATATTAAAACAGAAGGAGAGGTTTATACCAATAATAACTAATGGTACAAGTTAATAAAATAATAGTATTAAATAAATGCCTAGACAGTCTAAGCAAAATGAAAAATTATTACCAACTATACTGAGCTTTAAGTGTTGTTTGGTGTAATTAAAGTGAACTTAATCCGAACTATAAACTTTGAATATCATTATTTAGGTGTTGGAAATCCTACTATAAAAGTGCCACTAGTGAACTGATAAGAGATAACTTGTTTAAAGGTAAGAAAAGAGATTACTCACTTATTAACTTCTAGAACTAAAACATTGTAGGCAAATAACTCCAGAGATACTATTGATATAAATACAATTCCTTTTTGAAATTTGATTTAAACTGGGTATTTGGCTAAATATAAAAAACATTTAACGAGATGTTTCTATCAATTATGTTCCAATGATATAGTTTAAGAAATCTTGTGAATCTTTCTCGCCCTTTTACCCTCATTTACCCATAGGTGGTTTACCCTCCCGTTTCCAAGGGCCCTCCACATAGAGTATTTCATGGCCCCTCGAAAAACTCAACTAATCGCCAAAGTACACGCCGTTAAGTCTGGCAAAACCATCATGGCGAGATAGGGTACAAAAGAATCCCCCGTATATTGTCTATTTTTAATATCTTATCAGAGGAATTTTTATTAGCCGTGTATTGTTCAGCAAATATTAATTAGTTTCTGTGATTGTACAACAAAAAGGGAAATTGCTCTGGTACTTTTTGAGTGTGTGCAATCGTGTTTGCATTGCGTGTCATGGCGAAATTATCATTGGTTGTGTGACGCAGAAGACCCCATCCCCATCCCCATACCCATCCCCATCTCCATATCCAACCACATCCATCCCTTGGCTGGATTCCCTCTAAACCGTTTCAGGGGGGCTGGTGAAATTGCAATCGACAGACGCTGCGATGACGCATGCTTTTTCCCATCGGTTTGGATGTGAGTACGGGTGTGCGTGTGGGCCTAGACATATGGCGACAAAGAGGCTGACGTCATAAGCTATCCATCTAACGGGGAAATGGAAATGGAAATGTGAAATGGGAAATGGAAAGCAGAGGCTGGCAGACGCGGAAACTGGGAAACTACCCCCGAATGCGTGTCAAGACTTTGGACTTCGGTGGACCCGCCATGGCAAGCAGTGGGCACTTGGGCACTTGGGCACTTGGCCTGGCCCACTTTGCACAGCTGCAACATCTCGTGTACGGCAGCAACACCATATCACAGACACAGCACAGCACAGCAGCAACATCTACGTACGGCAGCAACATGTCCCACATCCCCAGATCCCCACATCCCACGCAGGCAATTAAGAACGCGACTTGGCTATTGGGTTACACTTAAACTTCACTTTATTCGTTCGGTTTCGTTTTGTAGTCAGCATTTAAAATTATTTATTAGAAGCAACAGTCGGACAGGCGGTGTCACAAAGCGGCGAAGGGGGGTCTTTGACGCGAGGGGGGTGGCGTATCAAATGTTTTGCTTTTTGCTGCTCAGTCTTTTAATTCTTTTTTTGGTTTCTTTCTCGCTCTTTGGTCTTCTGTTTTGGGTTTTTCCAAAACGAAACGAGCCAAGCCGGCTTGCTCAAAAAAGGGGGGTTTCAAAAAGGGGGCTTTAAAGAGGGGGAAAGGGGTCCACACATGGATGGCGAGGGGTATCCCCTATATCGTCTGGCGCTTGGCGACAGCAATTTACCTTTAAGCGAATGCAAAAGTATGCGGAGAGCCGAAGAAAAAGTAGTCGCAGCCACACAATTACCCCACTAGCAGAAGAATTCTTCGGAGAACGGGAATCGGTAATCGGGGCTCTATAGCTGGACCATCTCTATAAATAAGCTGAAAGTCGCTGGCCGAACCAGCTGAACCATAAATCATAGGCAGACGCTCGAGTGTCGAGTTATTATGCGATCATATTTTAATTGCCGGATTATTATTATGCAGGCAGTGCCGCAGACCCCTATTCTTCGCCCCCCCCCCCCTTTCGGCAGCATAATCAAGTCCGGCAAACAAACAAAACACCTGCAGAGTCACCAGTTGCAGTTGCAGTTCGCCTCTCCAGGTGAGTGTGTGCGGATTGGAGATCGCTCGGCTGGAGCTTCGGATGGGGAACTGAAGACCTGAAGACCCGCCGAAGATTGCAGACCGCAGATCGCAGACCGCCTGGCTCTGTGCTTGGACAGGTGCGTGAACGTGGCCAGCGGGAGCGAGAGAGAGTCGCAGCCACGAATCACAACCAAGGATATGTCCTACCGAACACGGAATACCCTGGAAAACCCAAGAGGATCGGGCTGTGATTGCTCAAGTCCTATAACCAAGGGAAAGACTTTGGAAATCATTCAGAATTGTGTTTTTTTGAGAGAACTTAAGAGCGTTTTATATACAAAGTGACCAAGTATCAGGAACATTTAGAAGATTTAGGATTATTGAATACAGAATCTAGGTTTACTAGCCATGCTCATATGAATATTATATTATGGATTTTATATTCTTTAGTTTCTTAGATTTATCTACAGAATCTAGGTTTACTAGCCATTCTGATAAGAAATATTATAGTTTGTATTTAATATTCTTAAGTTTCTTAGATTTATCTACACCAAAAAATATAATTTGGAAAATAACTTATATTGGATTGTCAAGAAGGGACCTATAAAAGTCATTGGCTTTTTGTTTATAATTAAATTTTAAGAAAACCTTTACCACTATGGAAATAATACATACGCCCAAAAAAGTTCTCCTGCCAACATCATATTTAACTTCAAGCAAAACCCTCTCCTTCTAACCATTTTCATTGAAGAGTTTCCCAACTTTCGAGTATACACAAGTATTTCCCCGCACAATTGCCCATCCTCAGTGCTAAGCAAACAACATCATCCACTTCAATTACCCTTGATCCAAGGGTATAAACACATAGTTTTTTGAAACCAAATTCACATGCAGTTCGTAGTTGTAGTTGCAGTTGTTATGGTTGTTATTGTTGCTGATGTTGTTGATGTTGTTCGGTGGCCAGAAGGGGCAAACGAGTTGGCCCCGCCGCCTATGTACCAGTATGTGAGTTGTCAGTTGGCAAAACTGGTATGGTTGCATTTTTATTATAAAGCGAACAGAAACAACAACAAAAAGCGACACCTAGGCAGTACGGGAAAGTCCGTCCGTGTGTCTTTGCCACTGCAAAATGGGGATCAGAGGATTGGGGATCGGGGATGGGGGATCGAAGGATCGGGGACCTGGAATGGGGCTGGGACTGCGACTGGGACTGGGACTGTCATCCATGGCCTGGTGTTTCGCCTGTTTAGCCGGGTACTCGAACTGCTAGTCAGACGTCTGTTCTATGGACATTTCATGGACATGCCGGCGCACATTTATATTAACCCATGTAGCTTTGGCTTACTCCCTGCCCCGCCCCCAAACGGATCGCCCCTGCAAAGCGCAGTTATTACCAGCATTATTTACACAGGAAGAAATACATGTCAATGATGGAAAAGGGGATTCGAATTAAATGAAGTTTAAGGCGTAGTTCTTAAAGAAACTGTTTATAAACTCAGAAATCCTCAGATATTATATTTTGTAAAATTTGTTTTGGACTATAAAATGGTACCTATCCTATGAATTTATCATATTTCTTCCTGTGCACACTTCATTGGCCCTTCTGTTTGCGTTTCGGCTTGTGTCTTTGCCTTGGGTCTTCATTGCCCCAGGAGTCGTAATTTGTATTTGTACGGTCCTTCTGGCACTCTGTCCTTGTCCCCCTAATGAGCCAGTTTATTGTATTCCCTATTTTTGCCCCCGTACCCTAGGATAATACTTTTTATGGCACTGGGAGTGTAATACAGGAAATTGCCAGCGATTAGCTTAGTGACAATTCAAGCTGCAATTGAAGTTGCAATTGCAGCTGCCGCAGTGATTTATCAGTCGCGCCTGACAGTTGGCCAGTTTATCCATCTATATATCACCCAGGAGATATTTGACACATCGTTACTAATTGGTTAAACAATATGTCTCACCGGTGATTCATGCCAGGCAACAGATAGAGTGTGTTGTGCATACATATAGTACATACAATATAGTACGTTCAATCAAAAACACTTTGTTTAATCACTCACTTAGTTGGTGGCTGTTAAGCCGCTTAGTATCACTCCAAATCCGAAATACTTGGAACGCCTCAATAGTTTTGGCATTTATTAGACCCCAATTGTTGCCAGGCAATTAAATCCAACTGGGAATTTCCGCCTTACAAAATGCTATGCAAATGTTCTTTATTAATTGCTTGCCAGACAATCAAACATATGCTAGCTTATTCGTAATTTGATCAGCTTTTGATTTTCAAAAATTCTTAATGCTCGGGGGCAATAAATTAGTAAAAAAAAACGCGAAAAAGAGAAGCGAGCCGAGAGCGAGTGCCAAATGTGATAATAGAAACCAAACAATTAAACAATTTTCGCAAAATGTTGAAACAACAAAGGCAGATAGCACACACGTTCGCAGATACACACAGATAAGTGAAATGTTTATATGTTTCGCATTATAATAAAACAAAATCGCACTTGGGAATATATAGCGACAAAGAGCGGGAAAAACAAAAACAAATCGGGGAATCGGGGAATCGGGGGATCGCAGATTCAGGGAGAGGCAGAGATTAATTACAAAGGAATAAGTAAAGTTTACCCGTAATTACACTTCCAGATTTCCAGATGAGGTGCTTGTGGTGGCAAGAAATCGGCGGAATCGAAAATTAATTATGCTTGACATGTTGCCAGCGATCACCAGTGTTGTTGCTGTTGCTGCTGTCGTCTAGTTGCTGTTGTTATTGCTGCTGCTATTCGGACCGATATGAATCGCATTTTCAATTGCCTTGGCTTGGGCTTGGGTCTATTTTTTTTTATTTTTACTTCTTTTTTTTACGGCGAAATAGAGGAGGAACTAGGCGATTGGAAAGAGACGGGGGGGTTGGGCACTTAGAACTCACTGGCACATAATTTATTTGAGCCGGCGCGCGTCTTTTATTTCAATTTGAATTTGCATTTCCATTTCAATTTCAATTTGAGTGCGAGTACTTCGATTCGCTTTGCCACAGATTACGCATACGCCACGTTGCGCGCAGCCGTCGCCACTGTCAAAGGTTCAATTTCGCGCTGTGCCGCAATTGCAATTTGCATTCAATTCAATACAATGCAATGCAATACAAATCAATGAAATTGCGCGCCAATTCACCGGACATAGCACACGGGAAAACGGCTCCCAGCCAGTGGAAAACGACGCATTAGCATAGGCTGAAAATCTGAAAATCAGAAAATCAAGCTAAGCCCCGCATTAAGCTCCAATACTCGGCGTGTTGATAACAAATTTCGTGTGCATATGTTGTTTTGTATTTCATTTACTTTCAGACGTATTTCACGAATGATTCGGTTGTAATGGCGCTCTATAAAAGATCGTCGTCGAACGTGGAAATCGCGCGCGCGAGTTTTCCCCCTTCTAAAAGAGCGATTTTCCTGGCCAGCAATTTTCGAAATTTCGAGCCACTCTCGAGCGTTTTTGAAAATAGCACCGCTCGCGCCGGCAGCTAAAACGTAACTGAGAGGAAACGCTGCGAAAAACTGAGAAAACGTTCGCCTTCGTTCGTGTTGCCTTCGACTGGCCGAGCCGAAGTGTCGGCAGCGCAGCAGCAGAGTTTCGGATTGGGGCTTCTTTTTTTGGGGGCTCGCACTGCTCCGATTTTTCTGGCTGGAGCGAAACCGGGGGGCCAAGTGGTTCGAAGGCTATTGATCAAGGGGTTGAGGGCTGCAGACAAACGCCTGTCGCCTGGCGCTAATTAACTGCACTGGAAAAAATACTAGGTGGCTATAATACTAAATCTTTATTTTTCAAATACTTTTACACCCGTTAGCCCGTACAGTAAAGGGGTATATTGTATGTAACAAATAGATGGCAGCGTTTCCGACCCCATATAGTGTATATATACTTGATCAGGATCACTATCCGAGTCAATCTAGCCTTTTCCATCTGTCTGTCCGTTTGTATGAACGCTGTGATCTCGGAAACTATAAAAGCTAGAATTTTGAGATTGAGCATTAGGATTCTAAGGATTCTTGCGCAGCACAAGTTTATATCAGCATGATGCCACGCCCACTCTAACGGCCACAAGGCGCCAAATTTCGTCCATATGAATGGTGACATCTCGGAAACTACTTAACCGCTCCACATTTTCAAAGATTAAAATTTAAAATTATTTGCTGAGAAAAAATTATTAACTGCAAAAATGTTTGTTTATCATTGTCCGAAAAAACAATCGGAAAATAAAAACAAAATTTTTATTACCTTGATTCAAATATAATCAAATTAAATCATCATCGAAAAATGAGGACAAAATATTTATTACCTTGATTGAAATACAATCAAATTAAATCAATCATTTTAATATCTTTTGTATAGATGTCTAATTTGTACTTGTATTACTTATGGTTTTGTATTGATTTCTTATTTGTATTTATTATGCCTCTTTGCACTTAATCTAAATACATATGTAGAAATTGGAATTCAAAATGCAATATTTAAATTCATTTTCTTATAGTGTTTCAGTGTATAGTATTATTTGGCTTATTGGTATATAATTCTATTTTCAAATATGAAAATTTGTTTCGGACCAACAACTGTTTTTAAATACTACGATTTTTCTTAAACGTTAAACATTTTCAACTTGTATGCCACATGAAATATCTGTAGGCCAAAACTAATTGCTAGATTACAAAAAATATTTTGGTTAAGTGTGAAATAAATTACAACTTAAATAAGACTTAATTCCCTGCGTTATATATTCCAAAAACTAAGGACCAGAACTTACAGAAACTTGAAGCATATGCTTTTATATTGCACCTTTTTGAAATCGAATAGTTTTTTCAGAAACCCCCTCATGTTTTTGATATATTTGGAGATATATTTTTCCATGTGTGTCTATTTTGGCGGTGCGGTTAAAATCATATTCATGCGACTTCAAAGGCGAAGCTCTCAAAAGCTGCAATTGAAATCGAATTTCAATCTACATTCACACATTCCTCGGCGAAATGAACACCTTACCGTTGACGAAGTGTTAACAAGGCGAACATGAGAAGAGCCAACCGCATCAACACACCTTAGTAGTAAGCAAAGCAACTCAATTCAATACGATTCAATTCGATTCGATTCCGGGAACTTTTGCCAATTAGAATTTGTCAACTGGCATTCCGCGCTGTCTGCCTCGACTTCTTTGTTTTGACAGCTCCGCGTGCCTAGGGATTCACAAAGGTATTTTCCCGTCTGATAACAACATTTCTGGTCGTAGTATCGATTAGATTGTTTCTTACTCAAACCATGAATGAATTGAAGTTCAAATGTGGGTAAACAAGGCTGATTAGATCTGCGAATGTCAGGTGAAATTGGCAGACTTTGGATTCGATGAAAGCCAGCCGAAGCCTAAGCGTGTCATATATGGCAAGTAGTTTCAATAGTAATTTCACAATCCCAACTAATAATAATGATTCACTTTTTAAGTAATCAACGCCAAAAGTTCTAAGCTAGGTATTTCCGTTCTTGATTAAGTATAATACAAAATAAGTAAACTGTATATAAAAATTCCTCGGAAAAGTTCTTTTGTACTTTTCGCAATCTAATTTATAGTTAGATTGCGAAATAAAATTTGAATATTACTCATATCAGATTCACATGATATCATCGTCATATCAGCCTTTGTGCGTCGCGTTACAAGACCTGTTGGGTAATAAAAGTCTGGTGAGACTGCAGTTTTTTAAAAGGGTCATGAAATGATTCGGAAATAATTAGACACGTTTTATACAAATATTTTATATCTATACTATTAAATTGATTTATTACCAGACATTAAAATCGATAAAGGGAACTGATTAGTTTAATAAAAGTCCACAGTTCTTCTGTCATTTTACTACTAATCGGAAGCAATTTCTTTCCCACCATGAATGAATCCATTCATTATAATCGCCAAAGCTGCCGTGACTGCAAGTTGCATTTGCAATCTGAAATGTGTCTTATGGCATTTGTCTCGAATGCGATAATAGCACTTAAAGCTCTTAAATGCATTCTGCAGATGAGACAGCATACAAATGGTGCTGAGAGATCCGAGGCCCTGGGATAATTCACACTTAACCCGCGGCCAAATCAAACTGCCAGGCATTTGACATTTATGCGATGGCTTTTGGTTTTTCTTATTTTTAGGTTTTTGGAAAAGCTGCCGCGGCACGCTAGGAAAATGCCACAGAGTTGCAGCTGAGCTGGAGATGATTTATGCACTCATTGTATCTGTAGTTGTGGCTGGAAAATTGCAGTTATCACGAACGAAACTCGGCTCGGATTATGGTTTGGTTTTAGATTTGCTTTGGCTTTCGGCTTGGAGTTCAGAGTATGGAGTATGGAGGCTTAGAGTTAGAGTTTCCCAGGCCGTGGATTTTGTCACTAGAGGTTGCCCAGTCATTATTTATGAGGCGAACGGTGCAATATGCAGCCAGGTGGGAACCGTGACGCAGTCTGTAAAATTAAATAATTGCGTTTCATTAAATGCCGCTTGCTATTTGCACAGCATAGTGTAGTGTTCGTATAGGTACAGGTATAGGTTCTCCCCATCTTGCAAACAAACAAAGTGCAAAGCAATTTGGCATAAACGTTGGGTCGAGTGGGCGTTGGGCGATAGTGGAAATCTGAGAATCCCGCCCCACAATTTTCCACGCCACTTGAGCGTAATTAAGCGTTGAGCTTCTAAGCTCTGGGCAAATAAGAAACCCGTCGAGCGTCTCCACTTCAGCCCCACCCCTTTTCTGCCCCTATTATCCACACTCCATATTGCTATATATACGATACGGGGGCAGTTTGCGCATCGAATCGATGCTATTTTGATACTGGCAAATATTTGCAATTGGCCAATATGTGACTCGGTCGCTATTGTGGTGGCTATTTCTGGAGGCAAGTCAGGTGAGGATAATCCCAATTTAAATAACCCCAGCTCGGCTGGAGCTGCGAAATAGTTTGCAGCCAGTCAGAGAGTCAACAATCTATGGGGGATCTGGTCGATCTGGGGACTCTGGGCATTTTCCATAAGGTTACCACGCGCACAACAAAAACAAACAGGCTGCTTACAAACAAGCTGCTCAAATTTCCCTAATGGTGCAGAGTTCATTTGCCCCATGAAAAGCGATACGTACATAGGGTCCAAAGCACTCGAAGATTGGCCGCAAGGAGCAAAAACAGGAGGGGAAGTCTGCGGACAAAGATCAAGTGCTGCACAGGAAAAAATTCGATATTTTAACTTATCTAATTCGAAGTTAAGAATCTTTCTATAATCAAATATTCTAATCTTGAAACATTTTCTAAACATATTTCAACTTCGGATACTTTGATTTATACAAAATTATTAATAATTATGGTAAATCAGTTAATTATTTATAAAAACTTTAAGAAACCTTTGTAGCTGATGTCAATTCCATAGTAATCATTGAACTGTTTTCTAGTATCTTTATTTTATTGGTACTGTTCTATTCGAGTTATTAAAGCATTAACATTTTTTTAAAAAGCTAAGAAAGACGAATCTTTATTAACTAAAAGTTTATACTCAATTCGTCATAACCAAATGGATTATTTATTGTAGAGTATCACAACAGATCAAAGATAATTGAATGATCTGAACAATGTATTATTAAGTATCGCTATCGTATAACATCAGGTTCAAGGTGATCATATTTTTTGTCTGTGTGCTGGCCCCTCCTTAGCCCCTTCCAAAACCCCCCTACCCCCTTGATGTTTACACAGGCGGCACGACACTTACACTGTAATTAGGTGTATCCAGTGGATCCACTGCGACATACGAGTATCAACAACACATTGTCAACTTCTGGCCGGGCTAATTGAAAAGCTCTTCTCCACATGTCCACTTGTCTATATAACAATAAAGTGGGCGGTGGGCGTGGCCGGGGTCAGTGCATTGCCTATTCAAAGGGGGATGGCTGGGGGCGTGGCAATTGTTTAGTATTACTTACCGTTGCCTGGGCCAACGCCAAACAAAACGCAATTCATATTCATTTGGATGAGCCTTGTGTGGCTCTAAAACTGTTTGTTCAGCAGTTCGAGAATCACTGGAAAGGACAATTTAATATAAATTTCAAGATATATTAGTGATGATCTGTTTAGGCCATTTAGATATTTTTTCATCAATTATTTACTTCGTATTTTTCTAGTTTTATTCGATAGTCCCAAGATTTACCCTTATTTGATTTACTGCAAATATTTTTATAATCCTCTTTCATCCAAATTACAACTAGTTGGGAGTTATTTTGGCGTGACCTAGTACGCCAGTTTAAATCAGACATAAAAGCAAATTTGTCTATATTCTTAAAGTACGCTTTAAGGTCCAAAAATTTATAAGATAAAAGTGGCTCTAAAACTGTAATATTTATAAGAAAAGATGCAATTATTTAACTTGTGATCTTCCTATCTATTTGATTATGATTTGGGAAGAAATCTATGTATTGCTTTAATTTTTAAAATAAAATTTAATTTAAAAATTTAATAAATA